AATTGTAATACTTAAATAATTCTAAAATAATTCAAAATAAGATATGTTATTGAATAATTTAGTAAGGTAAGTAATATAAATAGTTTGTGTGTGTGTATGAAAAAAACATTTTTACCTAAAACAGTTTAAAATATTTATGTAGATTGGATTGAATGCCTTCAGAGCCATGATAACTAAACATGAACAATTGTAAGTTATCAGTAGTGACTCAAGGCATAGTCAGAAGAGAAGGCCAGTAACATCCTTGGAAATCAGGACCACTAAAGAACACCTGTTTTGACCTTGTCTGTACTTTAGGCATCTGCTGCTGTGTAAGGGAACTATTTTTAAGATTGACAAATACAAACAACAAACAAAACCCCTTAGACTCTTGATTTTTAATTTTTTTTTAATGAAGTATATTGTTTGCAGAATCTGTGGCTTTGAGATTATTATGGTACTGAACCTGCTGGCTCAGTACAAGTATGTCCTTGGACATGAGGAAGTAAAACATGGGATTATCTGTTTTTAATTTAATTCTTGTTTTTTGTATGTAACTTCCTCATTTCCTAGCCTGCCTTACTATGTGAGTTTTCATGCTTCTTATGTATGAATAAGGTTTCATTTTGCAGTGACTGCTTTTTACTTCTGTATTGCAGGCAATAATGCACCATGAAGGTCACATGGATGATGGTTTAACATTGTCCAGATCTCAGAATGAAGAATCCCGTACAGCACGTGTCATCCGTAGTACAGTCTTTCTCTTCAACAGGTTTATAAGGTGTGCTTTTAAAATGATCTTTTCATCCCTTTTCTTTTTTTTCCTCTTTTATTTTATTCAAAGTGGCCATTCACACAACAGTGAACAATGTAGCCCTCAGAAAAAACAGATGAATACTTCTCAAACCAGACTTTATGCCAATTTTTTATGTGTTCTCAGGAGAGATGTACCTTGAGAGGTATTGGTCAGTTTCTTTTCTCTATCTCCTAATATTGCTGTATTGTTCAGCCTCGATTTGAATGCATAAGCATACTGAAAATGCAAACAAACCATAAAAGAGAGATTTTTCCATGCCAAAATTTGCTGAAAGTCATGCGGTGCCTCATTTAGCTCTTTCTTTTCTAAGTACGGTTTCTAAGTTACAAACTTGTACAAGGCACAAATATACTGAAGAAGTTCATAGTCTCAAGAAAAAGTTTTTCTGAAAAGTATGAAATTACACCTTCTTTCTACCCTCCCATTACACTTTCCTTATTTGTTGCCTTTTAATGCTACTTGTTTCCTTTATATTTTGCAACCTATAAAATACTTTATTTTAGAGTATTTTAGCCATTTAAAAATACTGCCGGATTTATGCAATTTGCATTTATCTTCCTACTCGAAATGTCCTCCTAAATAACACTGATAAAATGCTAATTCTGAAATGTTTGTGACTTCAGTAATTGATGAAAGGCCCCTCTCATCAGTGTAGCTGGCATTAGAAAAAGGATGATATGCAATAAGACTATATGGAATGATAAGAATTTCATAGGAACTCATTTGTCACAAGAGAAGACAATGTGGGAGATGGTGACCTGAAGCAACCATGTCCTAAATCAGTGCACAGCCAGAGATACAGACATGTCAATTTGTTGAAAAACATTTACCCAGGTACTTAAATAATAACAGAGAAAAACGCCTATCAGGAGAATTGCCTACTGTATCACATTTAAAATACAAAAGAAATGCAAGCCCTAGGTCACTTTGTAAATAATACATTTTCTTAGAAGCTTCTAAGAATGCCATAAAAGGTAAGGACAGAGAAAAGCAATTTAATGATAAGTTTTCACAAATCAAGATACTACTAAGTTACAGTGGAGATTTTTGCAGAGTGCACAGGGAGTCCAAGGAAGTATTTAACAATTTAGTTTTGGCAGGATGTTACTCCAAGAAGAAAAAGCTGAATTGGAGAAGGTCAAAATTATTCTCATAAGTGTGTGCCCCAGTTCTTTCCCACAAAGTCAGTAGAAAAATTGCACTTCAGATAACATCCTCACAATAAAAATTAAGTTTTCAAGGTAACTTTTGTAGCTATCTTTTTGTAACATTGCATTATTAATTCTAAGAGATTTTTATTCTTCAGCAGTAAATATTCCTACTGAATTCATAATGTTTCCTAAATTTAGAAGTTTTCCAGCCCAAGTTCACCATTTGAGATGAAAATACAGAGTGACATGCCAGTAAAAAAAAAAACAACCAACACCCCCCCCCCCCCCCCACCTCCAAAAAAAAAAAACCAAACCCAAACCCCTCAAGACAACCAAGCAAACAACCTGGCCCTCCGGCTCCCCCCCGCCAATACTTATCAGTGTTGTCTTAATCCAGCAAAAAGCAGGATATAAAATGGGGCTTCTGCTCCATATCGTGGCCTGGAGAGGAATCTGGTGAGCAAGCAGGTTGCTGTGCAGCTTGGGAGAGTGGACTGGCGAAGATGGTCATGGGTCGGGTTGCTGGGGACCTTTGGTGTTTCTAACGAAAGAAAAGAGGGAGATGAGCGCCAGGCTGGGAGGGTGCCTGTGTGGATATGGCGGGCTCCTCTGACAGCTGAAGCTCGGTGGTCTTTAGGTCAGCATAAATGGAGCACC